ACATAAAGAAAGCCAAAAATCTTTTGAAAATTGTGACGTAAAAGTGACTAAAATCATGAGAAATATCAAAGTTTAATTCTATTCTGCATAATACAATTTTATCTATAATTTCTCTTATTCCCACTTATATATTTTGAGAGTATCCAAAATATAATCAATAATTCATATATCAATTCATGAAATTGCACCAGCAATTAGCCAACAATTAGCCAACAATTCATATTACTAGATATCAAAAAATAACCATCAATACAACCCAATATATTGAATTGCACCAGCAACTATTTCTCCAAATTCTAGTGCAGCCGTTCATACATAATTTAATAGTGCAATTCTAAATTTTGTGTCTAGATGAAGTTTAAGTCTTATTTATTATGAACTATTTTCAAAAACTTCTTAAAAAAGATCTTAAAGTATTTTTTTCTAGAAGAATCATGTCTGCAACTATTTAAAATTTAATTAATATTAAAATTACAGTTGAAACTTGACCAATAGCAAAATTACCATTAATTAAAAACTAAAATACTTACATACTTTTTGAACCGTATATCAAATTCTTTCTCAACTCTTGATGCCATAGTATTTGCGTTATCCAACTCCAATTCTTCTTTGTGCAAGTTTTCACAAAATAATTAAAATTTAAAATTTAAAGATAGATATAAGTAAAAATAAGAACTTATAATAAATTTTAAAAAATTTCAAAAACCAACAACTTACTTTATAAACTCATGTATACCCTCATAGTTATGAAGCACATAACTTCAAGCTTGATCCCATTCCGTAAAGCTCAACTCCTCATATTTGTTTCCTCGTAAGGGCCTCCCAATAGGTTTAAAAATTTGAAGCTTGGAGGTAGTTGATTCATCCATCCCCTTATAATTTCTTCCAACACAATTTAGTCTTGTCTCAACTTCAGCCGTATATAATGAGCAAAATGTCATAGCTTCATAAACAATATAAACCTCAGCAATTGATCCTTCTGCATGAACAATATTATTAACAAATGACTTTAACCTACGTAAGAATCTTTCAACAAAACACATGCACCTATAAGTAACAGGACTTGCAACTTTTGCTTCCCCCGGCAAATGTACAAGTAAATGAATCATTACATCAAAAAAGGACGGGGGAAAGACCTTCTCCAACTTGCAGAGAGTCACAACTGTTGACTTCTCAAGTGATTCCATGTTTTCTACATTTATCTTTCTATCACACAATTTCCTTAAAAAGCCATTTAGCTCTATTAGTGGTTCAGATACTTCCTTTTTCAACACACCACGTATTGCTAATGGAAGGAGATGTTGTAGGAAAATATGACAATCATGACATTTCATTCTAGCTAAATTGAATTCATTCTCATTAACATAATGAGTAATATTGGGGGAATAACCATCTGAAACCTTTATGGCACTTACAAATTTACATAAATCCTTTCTTTCAATTGGTGATAATGTTTAACATGCAAAGAAAAAACTATACTTATTATTGCCTTCTGACTTTGCATAAAGTTCAGGACAAATTCCCATAAGCTCTAGATCAAAATTACCCATAAGCTCTAGATCAAAATGGATATTGATTGTATCCTTTATCTTCCCCTTAACATTCATCATAATGCCAAATAAACTAATAAACACATTTCTCACAATATGCATGACATCTAAATTATGCCGTATCATAAGGGTTTCCCAGTATGGAAACTCAAAAAAAAAAAAAAATACACCTTTTTTCCTTCAATTACCTGGTAATGTTTCCTACCCTCTTTTTGTTTCCTTGTCTTGTCAAATCTCACCTAATAAAATTATTCATAAATGACAATAAGAATATGTAAAAACTAAATAATAAAATGATTAACAATAGTCAAGAATGTTGAAGCTATGGCATGAAAGTTGAAAATGACATGAAACGATGCTGCAACATCACTACACAATAGCATCAAAGTGACAGTAGCATCAAATATATCACACTAGAATGGATCTAAACTCTCACCACACAATTTGCCATGTAAGCAGCATGAAGAAGTAAAAAGGAAAAACTCTGACCATTGTTATTGATGCTAAATGCTAATCCAAAAATAATAATTATTATTATAATAGTAATAATTATAATAAAAAGCAAGATCACTGATAGTTCACATGGCAGTTGTGTAGGAGATTGTGTAGCGCTAAGTAAGCACTGACATAGATTTCTAACAGAGAGGTTATGAGCATGCCCATATTGATATGATTTTTGAAGCAACTACATCACTTGAAAAATAAACTTTCCAGACTAAAACAGGGTAAAAAATTGATAGTTAATAGACACACTACCAAATGGAAAAACAAGCAAATAAGGCCCCAAATTTTAACTAAATTAGCAATTAAGGTCCCAATGTTTTATTGTGCTCAATTAATGTCCCAAATTCATCAAAATCCTCAAATAAGGTCTCAATTGAACGGATTTTTAACCTTTTGTTAAATCTCTCTTAAAGCTATTATTAGCCATTTGTCCCATCTTATGTGGCATACTATGTTTGCAAAAATTTGCTGGCTAAATTAGAATTTTAAATTAAAACCCTTTTAATTAATCAACTTTAAATCTATATGATACACATCAATTTACACTAATTAGCCTTGTTATTTGTATTTATTCTTGTAAAAATATGACATTTTATTGAAATTAAATAAGATTATATGTAAATTATTTCTACTAATACATTTTTTTTTTCTTTTTCTAAACTAATACAATTTTTGAAAATTTAGGTAAAAAATAAGATAAGGAGCCATTGACTAAATAGGTGACAAATAGTACTTCTTTCACCCTATAGCCAGGTACTCCAAATTGATAACGTGGCAAGGAGAAAAATGCACCACTGCGGCTAATGCCGACAAAGCAAGCAAGTTAACGCAAAGAGGCCATGTGCATTCTGCTTGGAACCTCTCGAGACTCATCCTTTCCAATCAGGTTCTACCTCATAGGTTGCATGTAATAGAAGATAGACCGTTTCGACACGTGAGAAAGACCGCCGACACTAACCGACCCGTTACGTTCGAAGCTCAAACCAGAAGCGACCAAACCAATGGTGATAGGTGTAGCCATGCATGGCGGCCAACGCCACACCCGTTGGTGAAAGTTGGCGCGTTTGATACTTTTATTATCGGTCAGGCAGACAAGGGTACGTATCTGACATGTGTTCCACCGCCCACATGTCCCCCACCTTTAAGCCTCTCAACAATTACTTACCGTACACTTACACGTGCCACATTCTCCTTTCTCCTTGCTCTATTATGCCTTTCTCCAATTGGCAGGCTCTTCGCCGTTAAAATCAACCCCGGAGACCCAATTTAATCAGCTCTACTTCTAATACTTTTTCAGTTTTCTCTTCACCGTTTTTTAGCATAACATAGAAGGAAACTGAGGTGGGAGCACTTTCAATTTCAGGCTTTCACCATGATTATGACACTGCATCCTTACTCAAATACTGCAAAGACGGTTGAAATTATGTCGAGGTACAGACCCATTGCGCCAAAGCCAGAGGTGCCGGACAGACTGATGAATAATGATAACTCATCCATGTCTCAGAAAATCAAGCAATCGCCATATCTGAGGAACCTCTGGCAACAGCTTCAAGCTAGGCCTACTAGGACAAGGAAGAGAGGTAGGACTACTTTACCACCAACCACTCTCAAGAGACCGAGGATACATGTCTTTGGGCTTTCTTCTCCTAGTCCTGTGGAATCACCTGCTAAAAATCTCTCCTTGCAAGGTTTTGCTCATGGGCTTCCTCGGCTTTCTATCTCTGTTCCTAACCTTGCAGCGACTGTGACTGGCAGTGGTGGCGGCTTAGACACTACTAGAGCAACGTCAAGTTTGGTGACGCTTCCCCTTCCTCCATGTTCCCCAGCTGTTCCTGTTGCCAAGCAAGCGACAGCTCCTGAGCCCAATTGCTTGGAGTCCCCTGGAGAAGGAAACAAGATAGATTTGAACAGAGTGGTGGAGTTGCCTGAAGAGAAAGACCTGTTGCTCCAACTGCGAGGTCCTACACTGAGCAGCAGCGTTATAGCACCCCAGCCTGTTCGACCTGTGGGCTCTAGCATTAGCGTTCGGTGCATCAGCGAGGACCCAGGTCTGACCCTTCATGTGCAATTTACCGAGAGACCAGAGGAGGTGGAGGAGGAGGTTGAGTCTGATACCTTGCCAGCAGTGATATCTGATTCTAACAACAAGGAAAGGCTGGCAAATTCTGCTTACAAGGAGATTATTGGACAGCCAGAATGTCCGTGGCTGAATTCCATGGTAACTACCGATGGAAAAATGGGAAGGCACTCATGCGATAGGATCTCTAGGGAGATAATGCTCCATCTTTCTGATTCAAGAGTACCTGTTTCATCAAATGGGTTTTCATGTTGGGTGAGAATAAAGTGGAGAAGTAAGGGGAATAAGCATTCAATCAATACTTTCTGTGATGCAATCAAATTATCTTGTCAGTCGAGAGATTACCTGTTCACAGGGAGGTTCCATACAGATTGCAGGGAGGCTTCTCAGTCCACTTGCAATGACTGAAATTTGAAATGTAAATCTTAGTATTACCTGGTACTCCCTTCTTTTTGAGGGGAAGGGAGGCAAAGTGAGTTAGCGCTAATGTACCTCATCCACCATGTATTGATCGGATATAACGGCATAGTTTTAGTCATCTCTTTCTTTTGTGTAACAATCTACTTCTATTGTGCGTGCTAGAACATAAGTTTCATTTGAAAAAAGGAATGCAAGAAAGATATAACGTGTACTAAATTTTCATAAAAACCAAAAGGAAAAGCACTCCTTGTTAGTGTAACATTGACAATGACTCAAATGCAAGTACATAGAAATTGTCAAAAGAAAAACAGAATTAATGTTGACAAACATTATCAATATAATACAAAGAATGTATCATTGTCTTGACGGCGATATTACAGACTATATATGATATTGAGATAGTCTGGAATCAACAATATTTCTTCTTACAAGAATTATGTAAAGAGAGGTATACAGGCTACAGCACAAACCATGTTGCTGTGATAGTCTAGTATCTCGGAAGAACTTCATGTGATTGACGAAATTTAGTCCTCCTCAGTACTTGGGGGACCCTTCCATTTGAAGTTGTCAGCATATGACTTGGGCTGCATCATAAAGGAAGTCAAATCCATGTTAATTCCTCGAACAACAAATAGATACATATTAGATAAGAAAAATAGAGAATCAATATAAAACACTAAAATACCCAATCCCAAAAAATTGTAAGATAAAACTTAAAATATCCTACAAAAACCAAGCATTCCTTGCTCTAAGGAAAACAAATCCTATAAAACTACCAGAAGAGCCTAGGGTTTTTTAACATGAGTCATCAGGAAATCCCAGCTTTGGTGACTTTTTCCAAATGAAATCTTTTATCCACCCAAAAAGCTTAGAAAAGAGAAGCAAATTGATAACACAAGGATGAAGGAAACCATAACACAATCATAGATTTGTCATTATGAAAAAAGATAAACAAAAAGGAGAAAATGGAAAAGAAACTCAAACCTTGAGAATAGGAGTATGTGGCTTCTTAACCTGCACAGGAGAAAAATATTTATATATAAAAAATATCATTGAACTGGGCTGCTGAAGAAAATATATATAACAGAAAAGAAATATTATTGAGTCATGTAAAATGATATGGCAATTTATATTGAACAAATGATTATCTTTGCAAGTTAGTAATTAAGCAGTAGCTAGATTGAACTCAATGTCCAAGGATATCGATTTGAAATTGACAAAAAAGGGTAATTGGTTAACACTTTAAAAAATGGTGGGAGATGATACACTTTTCAATTAGGAGAAAACAAGGGGGAAGGGGGAGTCTGTCCCAACTAGAGTGCACCTCAGCACTATCCTTTAATCTCTCAAGTAAGGCATCTCAGTTACACAGTCTATTCTCATAATCGTATGCATCATTCTTTTTTCCTTTCAAATCCTTCCAATAAACTGTTCTGTTCTCTTCTTTCATCTCTTAAATTGTTCCTTCCTGAAGAATTGTGCTGCCAACATTCATAACTAATCTATGAAGCAAATGGATAAAAAAACTTGAAAAATGCAGATAACTGCATGCTTCAACCTTTCAACCATTATTTCAAACCCTGATAAGCATAGTTCACTTCAGCCTCATATTGCTGCTTTATAGGTACACTTACCGTGTTGAACGAATGAAAGAAACTGCAAAAGCTTAAAAAGGCAGATGTCAACAAATTGCAACATCTTTAAAGAGACACAGAGAACAGCATAGTACCATAGTTGTTTGTTTCCTCATAATTTCACATTCTCTTCAGGCAAAAACTAAGAAAAAAACATAGAAGACAAGCAGATTCACTCTTATTCACGCACAAAACTTTGGCTATAGAACTAACAGGGAAAATGTACAAGGCACATACTGTGTATTCCCAGCCATACTTCTCAGCAAATGCTTTTGCAGCTTCTTCACTGTCAAACTCAAGTGCTGCATCACCAACATTTGCATACGGGTCTCCAGTTGATGTCCATCCCATCAATGGATTTTCCCACCTAAAGAAAACGACAGTGGAAAAAAACGGTGTCACAAATATAATAAACAAGGGTTAGAAAAGGGAAATTTAACACAGTAAGCAAAATATGCAATCTCCAGCATACTTCTGAGTTGAAAGAAAATCAATTCTCCATTTCCCAACTTTCCCTGACCCTTGCTGTGATGCCGTTCTCGCAGGCGAATGTATTATAACCTAACATTCATAAATTTAAAAAAAGAAAAAAAAAAAATCAAGGCAAGGCAGTAAGGAATTCTTCAAATGCTCAATTAATCAAACATATACTGTTGGAATTAACCAGAAAGAAGTGGCGTGAACTTGAATCCATAACAGTTGACGAAAATCATGGAGGAAAAAGAGGCGGACCCTTCGTCGGAGGTGTTGTTCAGGGATTCCGGAGACCATCCCAACCTCACCAGGCTTCACTTCCACCAAGGCACCTGAAGACAACAATCTCATTGCAAAAACTAGAGGTGATCGATGAACTCGAGCTAGATTCTTACCGAATCTCTGCAGTGAACTCGCCATTTTCGTGTTGATTCGGTTTCCTTCTTTCCGATCGTCCCGGCGATTCAGAACGCACGAAGACGCTCAAAAGGTCTGAGGATTCTTGGAGGGAACTGGAATAAATTGCTAAATTGGCGTTTGTTGGCTTGGATGGGACTGGGTATTCGCTAGAACTTTCGCGCTTTCTGTTACGAGCCCACTACCTCTTGGGCCTTAGCAGTTTCTGAAATCTTGGGCCAGATTCCCAGCCCATTAGAAGCCCAATTGCCATCAGACCCCTGGTTAAAGATGGTAATCCAAACGATGCCGTGTGGGATCTTGGTTTACCTCTCAGCCCGTTTGTCCTGAACCTTATCGCTCATCATATTTTTGAGTGGAGGAAAATGGAAGGGAGGACAAGAGAAAGAAGAGAAAGAAAAAAATTTTAGTTTAGGTTGACAATATTGACTTGTATTTGTAATTGTATATATTTTTTTATTTTTTAATATTTTAAAAATATATATAATATATTTAATATTTGTTTAATTAATATTATATATTTTTAAATAATAAAAAATATAAAAACAAAAAATTAAAATATTAATAAATGTTGTTAAACAAAACTTTTATTTTTCCATTCCCTCCTTTATATAAATAAATAAAATTTAAAAAATAAAATAAAAAATTCTTTTCTCTTTTTTTTTTAAACAATATTATAATCATTCTTACAATATTAAAAAAAAAAAGAATATGAAAACTCAAACATTCAATCCACATGATATTCTCACAAAAGTTTGTAACAAATAAGTAATTTCTAAACAATCCGTTCCGATCTAATCACATTGAATTTTAAGTTAAGATTGTTTATTTTTTGTAAATTATGTATTTAAATCTCACAAAAAAAATTTTTATCCCTTTAATTAATATGTAAATAATTATTTAAAAAAAATCAATAACCCCCAAAAGTGGGGAACTTCCTCTTTCGTTCTTCTCTAATTATTTTGATAATTAAATAAATAAAATTTTTCATTTTTCCTTCCTCTCCTTCTATTTCTCTCGGGTAAGACATAATGTAAGTTTGAGTTGAAATTCAGTTGCCATCAGGCACGCCTGTTTTTGTTAAATCTAACAGTCCTATTAACGCCAGAGGTTACAGTACCGTATCATAACATTCCTATACTCTTCAGCACTCAATCTAATTTCTTTAACCGAATAAATTTACAGTTTTATCTCCACACGACAACAAAGTACGATTTTCCGAAGTAATAAACCTTCCTTTTTTGATTGTGAAGCAAGAAACACCTTGTTCCTCAGTTGTCCCTTTTGACATTGAAATTGGAATCATTCCCATTTCCCCTCGAATCTATCGACCAACGCTCATCTTTATAACGACTCTGTCTTGTCCTAATTTTCCAGCCGCAGAATCGTTTTCCCGGGAAAATCATTACTTTTTTCTGTGAATTCTCAGCAGAGTTTTAGGAAACAACAGGAGTTATGGCTAATGAATCGTTGTCGTTCTCTGATTTTCCCGATGATATTCAGCTCTGCATCGTCTCGTTCCTGTCTCCTCCGGACATTGCAAGCTTTGCCTGCACGTGTAGACGCGCCGTTTCGCTCTGTCGTAGCGATAGCCAGCTCTGGTACACCTTGTGCGACCGGCGATGGGGATCCAAGACCCAGATCAAGAGATGGGGCGGCGGTAATATCACATACAAGCTCTTGTACCGGACACTCAACGAATGGGAGAATCTCATCGGGTTCTGGCGGCGATGTGGGCAATCGAACGTGGCTGTTTCTTCGCCGCTGTTGGTGTTGTTCGAGTGGGGCCCGTCTTTTCTCGCCTGTTCTAGGGTTTCCCCCTCCCAAAACGGCAGCTACCAAGTCAAAAAGATGCCGTTTTTGTGGATGGGGATATCGCCGGACGGGCAAATCGCGAATTTTCTCGATCGAGAGGGGCATAGTGAAATCTTGTCCGGAGATTTCGAGTGCTGGCTTGAATTCGTGTGTTTGGATCAAAATCTGGTGCCGGTGAACGTCAATTTCATGGGCAGCGGCCATGTTTTGGTCGAAGAAAATGTAAGCTTTAGCTATGAGAACATAGAAGAGAGGAAAGGTAGGAACGGTTTCAGAAGGAGTTCGAGTTCGGAGAATTTACAAGGGGAAGATAGTGAGGAAGTGAATGTTGGGACTGAAAGCGGGTACCCTGGGAGCTTACCGGACCGTTTCTTATCGGAAATGTATGCACATTTTGCAAACAGGACGAGCCCCAGCAGCGATAAATCCTGGCGGAAACAGAAGCGGAAGGAGAAGGAGCGGCAGTCAAGAAGGAAGTGGGAGCCTGAGCATTTTCTGAAGATCGTTGATTGCACTCCCACCCCAGAAAGACCCTTACAGGGTCTTTGGAAGGTGTTTTGAAACCCTCAATCTACATTATGCTTGTCCATTAAAGTTTTGATTTTTTATTTTTTTTTAGTGTTCTGTGATGCAACTGTACCTGTCATTAGCCATTCTTGACTATTTTAACACTATTTTTTCCTCTTTGATATGCCACTTTTAATTAGTTGAGTTTTAATTTGTGCTTTAAAGTTCAACATTAGGTTTGCCTTTTGTTTGAGCTGACTTGTGTTTAATATCTGCTGCATTTGGTTTAGTATTTTGTGATTCCCATAAATATATATATATATATGCTTCATAAGTATCAATTCCTAGAAGATGTTTTGGAAAACTGTATAATGTAGGCATCCCCTCTCTGTTGTTTGATAAATTTCTTATTATATGCAAAACCATAAAAAGATGAAAGATGAATCACATTTGAAGATTATTGCCAAAAAAGGAAAATCTCATTGAAGTTATAATTTTAGCATTAGTATTACATCTGAAAAAGGGAAAAGCCCTGCTCCCAAATGCATGTGGTTGGTTAATGTGATTTCCCAAACGTGTTTTTACTGGCAAAAACTGGGCTTTTAGACTGTTCTTATTTCAGCAAAAACATATTTGTTTTCCACAGAACTTCTTTGTACTAGTATATACTATTTATGCCTAAGGGTCTTTGTCATAGCTTATTTTGTAATCTATTTTCTGTCTATTTTTGCAGGGAATTTGCAGTGACATGAACTTGGATTTTTATATCGTTAGATATGATGAAATTGGTGGCATCATCTGCCGAAAGGTTGGGGACTTGTCCTCCAGCTATTCTGCCCCAGTTTTTTGGACATCAAGACCTATATTTATGGAATCTCCATTTTCTGCTGCTGAAGAACGTATCTATGATGATCGCATACATCTTGAACCGCTTGCAGCAGAGGATCACAATCAACACCAACATTCATTGACAGATATTGAGGCTGTGACTCGCATTCTATGCATCAATTCAAGTTATGATATAGCTATTCCAGGCTTGGCAGGACGCGAAGCTGATTGCCAGCATGGAGAGGGAAGGATTTGGCAGTACAAAAATGGAACATTTGGATTTGGATTTCTTCGGGACCAATTTATCATAGACCTGAAGCATATCATCCAAGGTGGTTCTCTTCTTGATACAGAATACAGTTAATCATTGTAACCATTAGTTAGTTGTAATTCTCAGGGATAATCTTTGCGACTGTGCAACAGTTAATGTTATATGCAATGTTTGCACTGGCAAAACACTGTACATTTATTGTTAAAATTAGTTAAAATCTTTGCAGCACTGTTCTCTCTTGTTCCCCACTGTTCATTTCCAATGTTTTCTCTGCTTGCGAACGTCAAGCATGTACTCAAAATGCCCTTCATTTAGAACTTCCGGATGTTCAGTCTTGCAAGGTACATCATCATGGTCTCTAGGGCTTAGACTAGAAATTGGTATATTTGCACAGTGTATCGTACCATACCCCCTAATATCGAGATGCAAGCATGTCATGCCATCTGGTTTAACCACAGGATGCTGCACGGAGATTTCAAATAAAACATATGAAATCCAACACACTTCAATTATATTTATATGTAGCAAGAATTTTCCATGTCTTGTAAACATAAAACCCTTGTAACTGCAAATACAGGGATGTAAAACAGAGTCCAAGACAGTGCAGGGGAATGCAGCATAAATGGCAAAAAGATCAGAACATGCATCAAGCAGATCAATATTCAGCCTCAACTTCTTTTCCATTCATCTTCTCCTTCTCATGCTCACCCTCAAGCTGGCTTAGGTTTCCCTTTTCCTTTATTAGCTGACCGTGGTGGTGCTTGCAATAAAGCCGGCCTTCATGTGCAACATAATTTGATGGACTGATTACACACCCTCCATGGCTGCACTTGAAACAACTCCTATGGTAGGGAGTTCCATTCACCGAAACCTTTTAATAGTAGGAAATTCATTTGATAGTTAATTCCAGTGGTGGTAAGTCTTACATACGTGCAATTGAAGCATAAATGCAGCACATTCAAACATCTGAATCATCCAAAAAACAGAAAAGTACCACAACAAATTCTTACCTTCTCAGTTGGATATACAGTATTCTTACACCCAACACATTTTTCTCTGGTACCAGCAAACATGCTTGAGACTTTAGCTCCTCCAGGTTTCTGCTCAGAGCAGCTCATAATCATCAAAAAGTCACACATTACATGGTATAGCTCTAGCATATAGATTTCCAAAAAAGATTACCTCACTGTCAACGGGTTTCTCTGGCTTTGCAATTTTTGGTGTACCTAAAATGATATTGAAAACGAAAATCAGCTATAGGTGTTAAGCGGGGAAAAAAAAAGCACTTTCATCTGATTTTTTTAAAAATTTTCACCTTCGAAGCTTTTGTCAAGACTGCCGGTTCTTTTAAAAAGTTGATCAAAATGAGGCTTGCAGTATAGAACTCCTTCAAAGGAATTGTAGTTGCTCAGCTGCAGTAACATTTTATCTATCAAATATCAAAAAAAAAAAAAGGGTCCTCTGTTTGGAATAAAGAAAATTGCCTAGTATTTTTTTGTGATAAAATGGTCTGCTTTGATAAACAGGCCTCAGATCTGAAGTATACCTAAAGAAGAAACATTTTGTTGGATCTGATTCTTGCATTGGTAGATTATGATTTTTGGTCTAATAGAACCAGAAAAAGGGTTTGGTTTCATTTTTTAGTTCCTACTATAATTCAGGGTCTAAATTGAAATGCCAAGCAAACTGTTTTCTGCCTTACTCATGCCAGAGTTATACTGATAAATGAAGCTGGGAAAGAACCAAAAATTAAAGCAAACATGACTTCTCAAGGTAAAGAGAACAGACAGATAGCAAAACAGCAGAAGAAGTAGATCTAATGCTTTCATTCAGACTTTTGTGTGTGCTTACTTTGAGTGTTCCCTTGCAGTGATGGCATCTGAAACAGGCCTTGTGGAACACCCGGTTGTCGGCAGTCAACTTGTCCACCAGATAAACAGTCTTGTCACATGCCATGCATTTCTGGGTTGTTCCTGCAAATGCCATTGCTTACCAGGTCGAAATGGAGACTATTTTCTCTGAGAAAGTGAGATGTTCTTGTCGGAAAACTGATGCGGGTAGGAAGCAGAGATGGCGAGGAGAAGATAAGGAAAGAGAGGGGGATGATGGAGAGAATGTGGGAGTATAATGAGGGCTTCTGTATAATAATTAAAAGTGCCAATGATTTTGTCCAATCTTAAAGCACGTAACCACCTCTTGTCTCTAGATATTTCATGTTTCTCTGCCCTGTAACAAATTTGAACTGACTTTTTCTTGATTATAGGATTATAGGTAATAATAGAGGGACAATTTTTTTTATTTTAATTTTTATGTAATTTTTACGTGTCATTAAATGAGTATATGCATTTAATATCATATTTTTTATATAAATTAAAAAAATCATTCATTTTAATGACATGTCAAATTATATAAAAAGATGAGACAAAAAGATTGTACAAAAATTATTTCCCTAGAATTATATATGGGACCTTGTTTTTTTGTCCCAAATTACCATATAAATCCAAACAACAACCTGTCTCTTTTCAAGTAGAGGATATGCATCTTATCCATTTTTCCCATTGGCCAGTGGTATCATGGAGCTGCTTTGTCTAAATTCAACCTAACGTATTACAACAATTCATTGAATTACATAAAAATCTATTAGGAAGTGTACAAACAGTTAGCATTATAAAATATAAATTAAAAATCTCATATTCCAACTTTTGAAAATATAAAGAGGGGAGTCTTGTACCCCTTAATTTAAAATAATAATGATAATACAACAGGGAAATATGATTTGGTTACTTGGATCTAGATGACTTTTTTTTCCTTGCTAGGTAGGTGCCCCAGGAGCTTTGGATTGCCAGCAATTTCCATCCTATGACTTAGCTGTCCTACTACTTTCATGATCACAAACATGTACTCTTCTTACTTTATTGTATTTTCTTCATTTCTATGCACAAACCAGACCCAAAAATGGGTTTTTAACTATGCAGTATTACTCAATTTTACTTCAACCACCAGGTTTCTTTTGCTGTTGATTACGAAATCTTGTTCACTTTACTTTGCTTTAAGATTATGTTACGTTTGAAAGTGAGTTATACAACAAATTTCTTCTCAAAGTTCAAATCCGAAATTCCAACATAAAAAGTTTCATGCTCTAACACTTGCATTATTACCTTAATCTACCGTATGATGATAACATTGTTAAGAAGTAGATTAAGTTCCTAACTTGCAATTATTTCATTGTTTCATATTAAAATAATGGAGAAAATCAAATCCAATAACTTAGTTTTTAAAGTTCCCAAGAATGGCAGATAGATGGGGTGATTGAGATGGAATGATGATGGAACGTGTTGACAGCTAATCTTCATGCCCATATCATGGCCCACGTTTGAAAAAATGGAAATTGCTTTGGGCTGAATGGTACCAAAAAATGTAGCCCAAATTTACATAAAGTTTGGATTAAAATCAAGAGCGGGCCCACATGTTCATAACAATTATTAACTTTACGAACTTAAGAATTGGAAAAGAGAAACTTACCAATCTGGGCATTTGGTCTAGTGGTATGATTCTCGCTTTGGGTGCGAGAGGTCCCGAGTTCGATTCTCGGAATGCCCCCCTTTCTTTTTCATCCTCTATTCTTCTTTCAGCTCCCTGGAATGGAACCTAAAACCCTCTGGTTTCACACACTGTTACCTGGTAAAGTAGTTTTTTTTTCCTGGAAGTTGGAAGTGATTGTTCTTCTTCAGACCAAAAATAGTCACCTGGAAGATGGTATTTGGGCAAGTGGTGATTGGTCCTCATGGTTCAGGGAAAGACTACTCACTGCAATGGCATGTCTCAGTTCCTCACACTAATCGGAAGCTCACTTCTCTTCCACCTTTTCTTCTAATTATGTCTCCTTTCAGTTTCAATCATCCCTGAATTGTGCAGTGCTATAAAATTTTAGGAATTTTTTTTTTTTCAAATTTAAATTTTAATGCAGGAAGGTTGCAGTTATTATTAATCTGGATCCTGCCAATGATACCTTGCCGTATCCTGCTTGTCACTGAAACTTATTTAAAATGTTGTATTTCCTTTATAGGTGTTTGATTAGTATGAATTTCCTTAACCTGAATGTAGTTATGCAATAAATATTGAGGATTTCATAAGATTAAGGGAAGTAATGGTGGAGCATTCTCTCGGCCCAAATGGTGGTATGCCTACTTTTAGTTTGTTTAAATTGTAGAAACTTAATATATGGTATAGTTTATGTTCTGATCTGGTTTTTGAATTCCAATGTATATTTGTTCGTTACTTTGGTTTCTAAAGTTTTATGTCTCATGTCCAAGCAGGTCTCGTTTATTGTATGGATTATTTAGAGAAGAATATTATTGACTGGTTGGAGTCTAAACTTCAACCTTTTCTGGAAGGTTGGTGTATTAGGCCTTGTTGAGTTTTAGGCTTTTATTTTAGGTTTTATATGATAAAACATGTGTTCGAATTATGTTCATGAAAGATCATTGAGATAGCATGTGAATGGTGTTTTTTTTTTTTTTTTGGATAAAATGTAAAGTTTTTATTTATCCAAACTGATT